CTTTATGACAGCTGTTACTGAGCTGTTACTGTTAAGAATTTTAGTTAGCGAGAGATGGCCACCCATCCCGATTTTCATAAGAAAATTTTGTTCAGCGCACTTTTGGTTGAATGGATTAATAAACAAAATTGTCGCGTTCGGAGTAATGATAATCCACAATCCATTGCTGAGATGCCGTTACATCCTCAAAGAGTCAGTGTTTGGTGTGCTCTATGGGCAGAAGAAATCATTGGTGCATGTTTCTTCAAAAATGAAGCCGGCCATAATATTACAGTCAATTACTACTCATATTACTGAAGAGAACTTTTGGTAAACTCATTATCTCGTCTTGGGCTTCTAGCATGGCCTCCAAGATCGCGTAATTTAACACGGCTACACTATTTTTTTATAGGGTTGTGTAAAGTCGCTTGAAGTTTTGGAAGAGTATAATCGGCGCGTTATTGCGATCATATGTCTACAATTGCTGCAAGAAGTGGTCAAAAATTGGGCCATAATCGCAAAACCCTTATCATTATAATAAGGCTAAATTCTTATCCATAACATTAAATTATATGCATTTTATTTTTTCTTGAAATTAAAAATTAATTAAATTAAAAATTCCTCAAACTTCTCACCATTCCGCTAAACAGTTTCCTCTGATTGCCATAATGAGTTGAAAGCGTGTTTAACTTGTTACAGAGGCCTAACAGTTAACATTAGACAATGTCAAACTACCTTCAATGTAAAAGCAGATGGCCGTACTTCTAAACGAGTATACCATATATAACGAAATGTCTCGACCAAAGTAGCACGCATAAGAACTGACAATGATATGAGCACACCTAACAAAGCAGTTTACATATGAAATTGTGTTTGTTGGTAAAAACATGAAAGTATTTGGTTTAATGCGCAAGTAAAAGTAGCTAAGTAAAACCCACACATGCACACGCACACATATGCCAAGGACTCTATGATCAAAGGTTTATAAGCAAAAAAGTTTCTTAAAAGCTAAAAACACATGCATTTACATTAACATTACCTAAGCATATACATAGTACATATTTATGCCTCTATGTTTGTACTTTGTGTACTCATAAGCAGTCACTCATGCATGACGTGCCGTCTTTATGTGCTCCAAAAACATCCTTCAAGCGTAGCGCTGCGCTCATAAGTCACTGCATTGGCTAACAAAGAAGTAAACCGTATAAAACAGACACAAAATATATAATCCCCAAACAGCCTTAATACACTTGTCACTAATTATGGCCGTATTTCAGTATCGTCGCGCTGACTTTCTCTGTCATCTTAATAATTCCTCTAATTCATTATTTGCCTTTCATTCTACTTATACGTTCTAAGTATCTCATCTATATGTACATATGTAAAAACATAAAAACACCACTCTTTACATAGACACGTGTCGGGAGTCAACCAAAATTGCGCACATGTAGTCAATGCTCATCTCTCAGTTTTTGAGCTATTGAACTACGAATATTCGATGGAAGTCAACGTGTGAATTACTTCCAAATATGGTATATAAATACAAACACATATATATGAAAAAAAGTATGTGTGCGGAAAGCACTTTGGAAAATAAATTCTGCCGTGTAGACAAGCTCTTTTATGCATTAGCAATTTGGCGGACTCCAAATTTGTAGAACCTTTCTTTTGTTAAATAAGTTTCAAAATGCTCGCCATAATCTAGCAGAGATGTACTTAGTCCATATATAAATGAATGTGGTGTTATCTATGAGAATAACAAATTGTTTGAACCTTAACTTCAAAAAACTTTAAAGAGGAAACGAAAACTCTACAGCTACCTTATTAATCAACTGTCAGATTTGAGGCTTGATTTTAATAATCGAAAATCACTTATTAATCAACTGTTCCGAAAATTATTCTTCATAAAGATCTCTACACTTTTGCATGCGTTTTAACCAATTGTCGAAGCGCTTCTGCTACTCTGATTCAGTTATCTCCAAACCATGAGTTCTGAACGCAGCAACCGCTCCTTCAGGTGTTGAAAAACGTTGACCTCTTAATTTAAACAGGAATACAAAGAAGTTATTCGGTGCCAAGTCAAGACTAGACGGTGAATGACTCATCAACAAATGTTTGTATTTTACTGCTCAGCGTTGTTGTAGTGGTATGGTTGCGACATGTCCAGCTTTTAAATACCTATATAGTCGACTGCTGTTTACTTTCGGGCCCATACGCGTAAATCCACGATTCATCAGCTGTCACGATGTCAAAGCAATTTCTCTCGACCAATCAACACGGGGCTTTGTTTGAATGGGAATATGTTTTACTTAAAAACTGTGGTTACATTTTTTCACATCTCTACCAAGTTTTGCCGCGAATAGGTGAGAGAATACTCACCGCTAACGACGTTAATTTTCTTGACTTGCGTCCAAATTTTCTCACAGGGCACTTACCCCGCGTATGTGCTGTTTTACTATGTATATACCATATACATATTCAATAATCATATATTCAAACATCTTTTATATATTTATATGGTAGATGATAAGTAGACTATGTTCAAATATATTTTCATATGAGGATGTGCTATAAAGATTGCCAAAATATGCGCTTATAAATATAACAATTTTCCACATCACTGATTCTTGCTCTAAATTCTTTTGAACAAATACGTAAGAAGTTTACTTTTGGAGTTCAGCTAAGTTGACAGCACATATAAAATATTTATAAGATGTGATGCGTACATACTATACATGCATATATATGTATCTGTGCATATAAAATTTAGAATAATTAGACAGCAACATTTTATTAGAAATTATTTAGCTTCTTCTTTGATAATTATACAAAATTATATGAACGGAAATTGTGAAACCTAATATCGAAGTGGAGACGATGTAATAACTCTTATCTTACTCAATATTAATCAAGCATTAATTTGCGAAAAATTAATGTCTGAACTATTCAAATACTTACTTATAAACGGTTAATTTTTTTAAACCATAAGTGTAACCCACAACCTGTGGTATACCATACATACACATATATATATATATATATGCATATATAATATAGTCATGTGAATGTATACGGCGGTTATTAGACCATTTCTTACATATGGAGCACTGGTTTGATGGCCAGCATTAAAGATACGCTATATTACATACATCAAGAAATTAAATGGAATACAGAGAGCAGCTGCGTAGGAGTTACCGGAGCTATTAAATCATTCCGACTGATGCGCTTAGTATGCTCCTGCATCAACTGCCCATAAAAGTTTTCATTAGCAGCATTTTCTAATTTAAGAATTAAGGAGTTAGGTGGTTGGAAGCAAAAGAATTATGTCATATCATATTATATCGATATCCTCAATCAGCTCACAGATGTAAATAAATCAGACAATTCTCTCCCAAGGTTTGATTTCCCGGTGAGGATAGCTTCTACATGTGAATGGAGAAGAGGCTTAGTAGTGGTGGAGAACACTAACTCAATCTATACGAACGGGTCCAAAGTTTGATTTTGACATCTCCCTCTCTTTATCCGTCTACCAAATTCAGACAGCATCTTCCAAGCGGAAGTACTAGGCATAAAGTAGTAGCAATGGTTATGTATGCATACGTTCTTGTTTGTCTGTCGAAAACTTGGTTCGAACGGTATATATTAGGTCTAGTTTCATTTTATTTGTAATCTATATCATATTTTGTACTCATATTTTTAAGGCCGTTAACCTCTTAAGGAGCTTGATAAGTATTACTTGTTTTCAGAGAAGAATATTCACATATATATGGAAATCTAGAGTCCATTCGCAAAGAACGCTGGCTATAAACCTTCAAATGCAAGTAATTAAGAATGGACTTGGATTTACGTAATTTTTCAAACTATCTCAATTTATTAAACAAAAAATTCGACTTTCGTGTGTCTCATTTAGAAAATTTAGTAATATGTGTTGCAACCACCACTTTTTGGAAAACTTTAACGCTCATGAACTAATATACAAATTTTTTAACCATAATAAAATCTCATATTTTATGATTTCCATGCTAAATGGGTCCGATCAGTCGACAAATTGACCTAGTTCTATTATAACTTTATCTTGAATCTTATCAGCTTATTAAAATTAACAATACATTTCGATGAACATTTTGATATATTATCATAGACATTTATATAATATTATCAAGATTAAAGTACTTCTTTCAACTCGACAGATTATATGATATTTGATTCGCTCCAATTTGCTCGTATCCTATAACTCGAATCTTTGAAAAATTGATTAATCTATCGCACAGATATCAAACTGAAGATGTTCAAAAAAGCTTATAAGTGAAAATAATTTTAGTGAAAGGTTGCTACCTGTTGAAAATGCTAAACAAAAAATAATTTATAACTTTTATAACATGGACATTAAATTAAAAATATTTAAAATAATTTGTTAAAAAATGCAATATTAAAATAAGCGTAGCAAAAAATGCAAGTTTTGTTATTTTGTGGAAGTGTTTGAGAAGTGTTGCCTCTAATTTGAAATGTTTAAGTCAAAATTTAATACTTAAATATTCTCAAATAATGTTGCCACCTGTTTCAAATCTTTTAATAAATAAAATTATTTTATTAAATCATGACATTATTACAATATAAGAATAAAGCATATAAAAAACCGCTTAGGTGCATTTTGAATGAGTGTTGCCACCAGTTTAAAATTGTTAAAATTAATTTTTATCAATAATGTAATGTCGGTTTTAAACTTAAGTGCTTAACGAGTCCTTACAGCTCTAAATATTTTAAAGAAGGGTTGCCAAATGTATCAGATTAAATATGTAGATGTTAATTAAGTTTCTTATAATAAATATTTCCGTACATGGTAAATGAGTCAAATTAGAATATGTATGTGTGTGTACTCCATTTATATTTATAAGTATTAATTTTAGCAGTAATTATTTTAATATTTTTTTAATCATCAAATCATAAACAACAAAACCAGTCAAATTATATTAACATAAGTAAATAAAAGAACAATAGATATGAATTTATAACAAACTTACTCATTATGTGGTATATCCTCATCTTGTTCGGCGACCACAGCGAAAATATTTAGCTTAAACAGCAAAACAAACAAGCAAAGCGCCAAAGCGCCCAAATGTTTGCGCTCCATTATGAGGACGTAGCGTCGCGTGTCGCGGCGAAAGCGGAAGTGTTTGTGTGTGGATATGACTTCTGGCTTTTTTTTTTTTTTTTTTTTGTTTTGATAATTTAAATATATGCGCTACAACACTATTTTTGCAATATTTATGTATGTTTATATTGTTTTTTTTTTGTTGTTGTCAGTTGGCGCTTTCGCGATATGCGCTTTTTATAGTTTTGGCAAATTGCTTTTGACGCTTTATTTACGGCCTCTTATTGTTGCTTTGTTTTCATAGACAGTAGGCCTTTTGGACACCGAGCGCGTGTAAGCGTTGCTGATGATGTTTTGTTGTGCCTTTAGCTGCTAATTGTTGCTGTTGTTGTTTTTGCTTTCAATTTATCGTTGCTTGCTACGTGTTATGCTTGTTGTTGGGCAATTTTTGTCATTATCCAACACTAGGCATACACGGTTGTAGATAATTAGTTAGCTGTTGTTATTTGTTGTTGTTGTTGGCTATTTTATTGTATTTTTATTGGCCTGCTGTTTATTTGATTGTTTTTATTGTTCTTACGTTGTTTATTATCTACCTTTTGTCACTCGACACGCACTGGCCCGTCTGTAATGCCACGCTCACCGGTGCGTATACGTAATGCGTAAATGTGAGTTAAATGTGTGCGCGACCATTCACATGCAGCAAACTAGCGAAAAATGTGAACGAGTGAACTGTGTAATTTTCATATTTAGTTGCACAGCGGGTGGTATTGCGGATGGTGTTTGTTGTGTTTTTTTTTCTTTGTTGTTGCACTTGTGCGGTTTTTATGTGTTTTACACTGTGTTTTCAAGGTATTTTTTTATTCAACGCCTTCAACTGAGCACAAATACGCATATATTCGCTTATGTGCTTTATATTTTCCTCTAATAATTTTCACACTCACACTTCAAATCACACTTTATAAACTTATGTATGTTTTGTCGAGTTGTAATTTACGCACACCTGCTCGCCATGCTGTAATCCTTGGACTGTTGTACCCAATTAGATGTCAGCACTTGACCCACTCGCTTTTTGCCCATATTTTTAAGGAACATTCAGCAAAAAGGTTCGAAAATATTTTCACTAATTTTACTTTAGTTCTTATATATATGTATATGTGTGTTTAATGTTTTTAATATATAATATTATTGTATAAACCGATATGTGTTTTTAGTTGATTTATAATCATTTAGAGACATGTAATTTGTTTTAGTTTAGTGGGTGTACTGCGTACAAGCGGTGAAACTGCAAATAGAAAAATGAAAAATAAATTGGATTTCAGTTGATTTCAAGTTTCTCAGGAATTGTGCACTAAAAATTGATTAATGTTTACAATTTTTATTGGAATAATATGACAGATGCAGTTAATGTTCTTTGGATTATATATTATTATTTATTTTTAGGAATTTCAATAATTTACAAAAAAAAATTTAAAGCAAATTTCACAACACAAAGTTATTGGCAGCAACTGTGAAACAGATTAAAATTTGGAGAAAATTCTGTTGTCTTGTAGTGTAGTAGAAATGTACGGTGTCTTTGTTTTAAGCGCATGCTGACATTCCTCTATGAACTATTCTAAAAAGGTTTTGTACGGGTCTTTGAGATTTTGAGAAGATCTAGATCTTCTGTGATTGTTTTGGCATCTGTCTCTTACGGTCAACATTTTAAGCTCTTAGCATTCACATACTTATAAATTTTTTTTATTATTTTTTTTTTCATTTTGTACATAAATAATTTTACTTCCATATTAATTCTACAGTCAAGCGGCAGTTGAGGCTATCCATAGCCCCAGTACAAAGTCTCAATGGGATAGGTTTAGCAAGCAAGCAAAAACTAGACTCTCAGCAGGCAACTCGGTTAATATTATCTGGGTACCTAGGCATATAGGAATAGAAGAAAACGAAAATTCAGACGGGCAGTTAGCCCGCTCGGGAGCAGCTGTTAACATAATTATCCCAAGCTGAACAGACCATTCAGCTCCTTCATGGGTTGTTTGAAACAGTGGAGCCGAGAGGAAGACATCAGGTCTCGGAACGCTAACAACACACAAAAATATAATATAATATTGTAGGGGTCCTCACAGGGTACCTACTCTTAAGATTCCAATTTCTGAAAATTGGAACAGTGGATTCGGCGGAATTCATGGCATGCGCGGAGGACAACAAGATGCTGGAACATTATCTTTGCGAATATCCAGCCATAAGCCGGGTAAGACATGATATATTACACGGCTCTTAATGCTTCAATTTAAGAAACATTGAGCAGCTGGTGTGGAAAAAAATTTGGTGTTTTACCAAATCTACCTAGTTGATGGATAAGGCTTAATTTGGCTATCACCTGGGAGCACAACAGGCTTAAAGATTGTTTAAGTGCGGCCGCCTGCGGTCTTCTGCGCGTTCCTTTTCAAACAACCAATCAACTAAGATTTTTTTAGTTACACGTTTAAATAGTGCTTACTAATGACACGGTATTGCCAACCATAATTATAAATTTCTATTTAAATGGGTATAAGAAGCATATTTTCTTTTGAAAACTATTGGAGTAATGCCTTAAAATACAAGTCCGCTAATCTGTAAATACAACCTCAAATTAAGGCTGGGAAAACATTTCCACTTAGCCAAAAAGTATACCAAAATTATTCCAACTTAATAATTATTGTTATTATCGCCTGAGCTATTTTGAGAACAATTTGGCTCACCTTTCTTCTTCTTAGTTGACAACCAATTTCAAACAACAAGTGAAGCAAACAAACTACAACCTTGTACATGTTACACCTGAATACTTTCTGATGTCTTTATTCACAAATATTTAATAAACTCTTTCCTTCTAAGAATTATTGCCTTTTTTTGACGTTTATGATGAGTGTTCTAATTTTATTTGTCGAGAGGGTCATTTCAGGTACTTCTCAATTATCTACTAATATAACTACTAAATAACAAATAGCAAGAATTTATTTCAAATAGCATTTCAAAACTGTCATTATTTTGAATATAGAAGCTGGTTTCATGATATAAAATTGCCTTCAACCTCGATGTTATGACTGTCAGAACCAAATTTTGAATGGAAAGTTTTCACGATCGCCACCAGATTTTGCGGAATTTATCACTAGCATAATGATGGTAATTATGTTTCGCAGCACCATAAGAAAGAAAAAGGATATTATGAACTGAAATCCGACCAGATCAGCTCTGATCCATAACCCCACAAAGTCCACAACAATTAGAAAATCTTAAAATCTTAAACATTTTAAAAATATTGGATGGGTTTCCGCCCTCTGAAAGGTTTATTGTACATATCTCCCAAACCATTTTAGCTAAAATAACCAAATTCGTATAGCAATAAATCGCTTAAGCACCTCTACCGACGGTGTGAAAATGGATGAGTCGCCAGCAAAACTACTATTTTGTACTTATGGCATCTAAACTGTGCGGATTCTACACTTTCAATGCCCCTAAAGTTGACCTGCCGTGTCTAAAGCCATGTTGTTTAGGGGAGAGTCCTCCAGCTTAGTTGATGGCTGCTTGGAGTCTGGGCTTAAGTAGCCTTTCATAAAGCTTTCCCGCTGCCCGAGCCCGAGCATGCATAGTGGACGGTATGCTAATGACAAGTTGGGATCACCTTTTCTCTTACTGATTAGCAGCCGTTGTTTTTACCAAGGTTCAGAGAATATTCCGGCATCGAAGCAGGCGTTGTACATATTCAAAAATACTGCAATTTTTTTAAGGATTTCCCGTCCGAGCCGGGTGGTTTATTAGTCTTTAGCTTGCCGGTGTTCTGGAGTATTAATCCTTTTTTCATGGTTAAGTCAGGTGATTTTGCTCGTACTCCGAGCTTCTTCATTAATATTTTTTACTCATCCTCGCCTAGTACCTCCCATTTTTTCTTTTTGCTATCGTCGATGGCGTGCTCATTGTGATATAGAACACTATTACTTAACGCCTCAAAAAGAAATTTATTTCTGATGCATTGATATATATATTCCAAGATTTATATAAGTCAATACATATAGTATTAAAAAATACATTTGATTTGTTAGAATTTAATAAATTCATCACTATTTCAGTTCCTCCACACACGCTGAAACGCTACATCGGCCAGTGACGGAAATTGCCACAATCACATAACTTGTACTATGTAATATATATAGCAATATATGTAAATATATGCTAACACTTACATACATATGGTGCCTTTACATAAGCATTTATTCGTCGCAATAAAAAAAGTTGACCTAGAAAATGGTCATAAACACATATACCTATAATAACAACGACCAGTCGCTGCACTTGTGTTGCATACCCTCAGGCGAAGTGGCTGCAAAAGCATACTAGCATCTATAGAAACTCGCAACTTGAATGTGTTTGTATGTGCACCACGTTGCACGCATGTGCATTAGCTTTAGCATTCCTGTATTGACAGGAGTGCGATTGTGGAGGAAGCTCATAGAAAAATACACAAAAAAAACCACACGCGGTTAAATGAAAAGCATATACACGTATTAGTAATTGCATTTAAATATTAGGGTGGAACGAATTTGACGTAAGTGAAATCAAAAAAGTGTTATAAAGTGAAAGCAAGTGGTTAATGTTTGAAATCTAAATAGTTTAAATAAAAATGTATGTTATTTTCCAATAAAAATGACACCCCAATGACACTTGCCTGATAATGATCGAAACCTTAGCCTTAACAATACGATTAGCTGCTCTTTCGAGATTAGCTATTATACTTTGTGATTTATGTGAGATTCAGCTCATATCCACATATCCTTTTGTTATAATATTTGTTTTGTACTCCGCTTAATGGACAAATTCTTTTTCACACCATAACAGAGGTATGTAACCACCTATTTACTAGTTTATATGTATATGTTATGTATGCAAAACTATGTAGCTTCAAAATCGGAAAAATTGCATTCAACGTGTGTTATAGTCTTCTAGTATTCATTATATAAGTGCTCAGGGTGATGAGCTAAGTCGATTTAACCATGTGCGTGTGTCCGTCTGTCTGTCTGTTTATACGCGAACTAGTACTTCAGTTTATGGCATATCGATATAAAGTTTTGTACAGGTCCTTTTCTTCTCACGAAGCTGCTCATTTGTCATAAACGCCGGTATCGGACCACTATAGCATATAGATACAGTACAAACTGGACGATTAAAATCGTATCCTTGTATGGAAAACTTTTTTTATTTTACAAGGGTTATTGCCCAAAGGAACGGCACAATCTCCGAAGAAATTAATGAATAAGAGTGTTTCTGCTTCAATAGACATATTTCTATACCATCACGACGAAGTAACGATTTCAAACCCCAAATAATTTTTCTACAAGGTACTGCTTGTCAAACTCTATATTTAATTTTTATACTTTTACTCGAAAGATAATCCAGTTGGTCAAATTATAAAGGTCTTGCGAGCGGCAGTACTCAATGCAGAAAAATTGCTCATTATTTGAGTGAGTCTCAAAGCTTAAAGCGAATATCGAAAATATTTCCACTATGATTACAATAACCGCTCTTAAGTTTGTAAACATTTTGGTCATTATTGGGGATAAAAAGAAGTAAAAAAATACCACTTTTTCCTGTTCTTCTCAAAATTAGTAAATAAAAGTTGAAACGTTAACTTGAAGCTGCTTAAAAGTAAAAAAAATTACGATTATATTTTAGAGTAGAAAGCATATAGTTTATAAATCGGCAAAACTAGTCAAACCAACCAAACCGTAATGATGTGGACGTAGAGTAACTGAGAAGCCTTGAATGCACAAGCAAACATTTACAAAACGATATAAATAAAATATCTATTTAGCATGTTGGCAGCGCGAAGAAGAAGGCATTTAACATCCAAATATGGAGTGCATTCATGTTCTAATATACAGTTGTCTTGGGAATGCACACTTTCAAAACTGTTTTGGGCAACCGAGAACTCTTGCGGAACACAGCTAGTATTAAATTAATTTAAAGTGTATACATATGTAGGTATGTACACTTTCGATTTAGAGATTCAAAACTTTATGATGCTTGACATTTTTAAACTTAACTCGTTAATAGCAAAGTGAAAATAAGAGATCAGTATCCATATTGTGTACAGTGGAACTGTACTCACATCAACCAAAATAACCAAAATCCAAACTTTTCACTATTCAACTCTAATATTCGCATATCCACCAACAAAACAGCAAAAAACGTATAATCTTAATCAAAAATTATACCAAAGCTCACTGTAAAAAACTATGAAGAAGATAAAAATGC